CGTGTACGTTTGGGCTTATACAAACAGGATTACATTCCTTATATCACAAGGACTGCAGATATTTCCCGATTTCTCAGAAGGCCGGTCGGTTAAATACAGGGTTAAAAATACTGAATAACCTGCATCAGAGGTAAACGTTGTGAGTGAAAACCTTATTTTAAGTAATGTTAACAGCAGGCATAACCTCGCAGTTTAACATTTAAGACAAGGTTTAAACAAATAATACATGGTTGTCCTAAACTAAAGACATTTTAAGTTGACTAAAACTCAAACAATTTTGTCAAATATTTGATCTGTGAAACAATGTTCTTCACAAAGAATCATGCCAGATTGTCACTTCAAATCTTGTACAATGAACTAAAGAAATCTAGGACTAAGACTCAAAAGACCAAATAGATGAACAATCAACAAAGGGGTAGCAGCCCTAGGTTAAATAGAGTTATCTCAAAATGTGGCTAGTTTTAAAGTTTTAAAAACAGAAGGAGAATAGCTAAATTGTCAGCAGACCAGAAAGGAGAAGGAAAAGCCTGGCGTGACACTTGGCCTTTGCAGGTATGTCACCCAGACTAGTTGAGCTATGTGGGAGAAAGCTGTTAAAACACTTTGTTTGGAGTCACATGATTGAAGCTCCATCCTCAATATAAAGTAGGAAATTCCTCAGAGAAATGGCGCCACACTGACGTAGCACTGTTTTGCCTACATTATGCATTCATAGGTCTGCTTTGTTGCTGCTGCATCATGTCAGCAGCTCAGAGCGACCCCGTGACAGCACGAGGAATCTATAGGCAAGAGGAAGAAACTCTACGTCTGGAGTGATAAACAATGCCATTCACAGCCAACAGAAGCTTGACATAGATCTTATTGGAAGCTGGCACAGAAATACCAACATACTGTTTGGTAAATGTTCATGCTTGCTTTGTGACCAACTACAAATCACATATAGTGCCCTTTAATCAGCTGATGGCTTGTTTTTTGGGGCTTTTCAAAAGCATAACAAATTTTATATAAAAAAAGTTCTTTCAACACAGTTTATAAGCTAGGAAGAACTCAACAAATGCTACTGCTTTTACAACTCCTTGATAACATGATTTTGTAAGCTTTATGCAAAGTTTATTACTCAGTTTACATGGAATTTAAGCTGTCAAATCTCAAATGTGTATTCAAATGTCACTGTTTTATGCCTGCACTCAAACTGGCTGTGTCACTGGCTAACAAATGATCTGAAACCGCCCATTAGACAGTTCACTGACTGCATTGAAACGGTTTACCACGTTAGTTTGTTGGTATAAATAGCGACCATCAGCTTTGCGGAGAGGAAACACTATTCTCTCTGTCCCAGCAGTGTTTTCCCTGGTGTTGGAACAGCAGGAGAGTCCGGGGACCTGAACTCAGGCTAATTAGCTAATTCATCGGCCCTGTAGGGAAGGACATGTGATTAAATCCAGTCAACAACAATCACTTTTCTATGCTGGAGAAGTTGTTATGAATTTCTTCATAATCTTAGCAATTTCACACAATTATAGTAAACTCAGTGGTTCTATCTGCTATGTAAGAAACAGTTCACAGTGAGAATGTTTATTGTAATTAATAGTACATAGAGTTAGTGGAATATAACTAAGGGCATTAGTTATATAAGTACAGTGTATTTTAGTTTACATTTTTGCTGTACTTGAGAAGAGGCACATATTTTACTTACCATTTGGCTACAGACTGATAATACTTGCAAATTGTAATAGGCTGTATGTTGATTCTTGTATTCAAGCTAAGCAGGCTTTAATAACACTTTTATTTATGTAGTGGATTTCTGAATTTAATAGTGTTTTAAAGAGTGACTGATGGTAGCATGGTGCTGTGGTTCAGGCTGGAATGAACTAAACTGCATATGATTTAACAAGGAGAGCCCCCTAGTGCTCAGATACGTCAACAATGAGGAATTTTGAATTATTTGTTCATGATTCTAACTTTTATAAATGCTCCATGCTTGTGCACTCATACTGTAGGCTCAAATTAAGTAGCAGCTAACTATGTAGCCCAATATAGGCCACCTGTCACATGACAACAGCTGTAACCACATTGTTAAACGCCACTAATATCACCATTCATACTTACTAATTTTTAAGTCTGCACATGGGCTACAAGTAAATCATCAGTTTACGGTTAATGTATATTCCTTTAAGAAGATATGTTAGATATTACTTCGACCATAAACACAGACCCGGAAAGACTGCATTTACTTAACTGTGAAACGATTATGAACTGAAGAAATACAACAACTGCCATACCCGTAGGCTCTTTCCCGCCGTTGTTGCCATAGTTACCACGTACCAAGCGAAACACTCGGAACAAGTCAGAAAAATATTATTTTGTATTCTGAAGCCTTTGTCCTTTATTCATTTATCTATGATCGATGACAACTCTAGAGTGATGGAAACAGAACGCACGCGGCCAATGTTCCCATGGTGAGTTACATTTAATGTATTTGTTTTTACCAGAGTACTCACTACTACATTTTGGCTGAAGAAAAATCAGCAGTCGTTTATTTGGGAATTTCAATGAAGACCGTAGACAAGTAAACGTCCTGTATTCAAAAATGTAACTCATGTAAAGTATTAAAGTACAAGCATCAAAATGCAAGTTAAATCCTGCTTAACAACCTATTTAAGAAAATAATATATTATTTTATTGGATTGGTATTATTATTATTGATGGATTCAAGTGTTCAGCACTTTAAAAAGTACATTCTAAAGAAAAAAGTTAAGAAAAGAACCTCAAAATTCAATTTCAGTAATAGTAATGTTGAAACTGCCTAGCATATCAGCTTTAAAGATATTTAGGTATCTCTGTGTCTTTATTACTTTACTGTTCAGTGTGTTTATATAACAATGTGATGGAGAACAGTTATAGCTACTATCTGTTTGCTCACCCTAACTGAACCAAAAATGAGGATGGACGAAAAGATTGCAATGAGGGGAGGGGAGAAATACTTCAAATTCAAAGGAGGAGGCAATACAAAGGGAGAGGCAGAAACAGATGAGACACATTTATCACAGTATAAAACTGCAGGCAAGTGAAGACTGCTGGTTAAAATGATCACTGAACAGCTGTGTGTGTTCATGTCAACGGGCAGTAGAATGATGTATTCCTCTACAGTACTAAAGTTCTTTAGAAATAATTTGAGTGTTTTGCGTGATCAATCCACAATCTATTTTGTACAATTATGTACTCTTTTACTGCTGTCCTAAACATAAGCATAGCTGAAGTTCTGTATAATATCTGCGGTATGATAAAAAACCTCAAACTTCAGAAAAGAAATCTGAAAACACATTTTCATCACAAACTGGTGAGAACAGGTAAAAGGGAATTGCACGACTATTGCTTTCTTTCAGGATAAAACTAACACGTGACCTGAGTTCAAACTGTCCTGTGAAACTGCACAATATAATATCTGTAAGAACTACAGTAGTCTTCTCTGTACAAGTTAACAAAGATTAACATTAAATCTGTGTTTGAGGTTCTATCCATCTATTGGATCCTGACAGAATAGATCCAATTAATGAAACAACATGAAGAGATGACACATCAAAGTAGCCTTGCTATCAGGCCCTCGATAGAGGATATCAATGGTCTTATCTTCTCCTCTTCTGTAAGAGATGCAACTCAGTGAATGATCATCAGTCAAGTACTGGCTGGGTGTCCAACTGGCGAAACATGAAGGAGGATATAAAAAGACAGCTCACAGAGCAACTTTCATGTGGTTAAAATAGAGACGCACTTCCTGCTCAAACAAGGAAAAATGATCTGCTCAATGCAAAGTAAAACAAAACACTCTTTCAGAATCTTCTGAGGTGCAGTCAGATACAGTATGTTTGTTCCTTTGTTTTATCCATTATGTCATACATTTTTAACAGAAATTACAACTGTGATGATAAGCAGCAACTCATAATCTTACTGTGTAAATGTTTATTAAGAAATCAATAGTCAACTCCAAATTTGTTTGCAACTTGTATTCTATCCAAGTGGTTTCAACTGATATGTAATTTTGCTGCTTTATAAGATTAATACAGTCCTTAACTTTTTGTGAATCCTTAGGTACAAGGAGAGGTTGGAGACCAAGTATCTTAAAGCTCCAGCAAACAAGATTTCCTTGGTCGGCAGTTGTTGCCGTTTTGTCAACATGAGACTCGATGACTTCAGTGATTGCTCGTCAGATTTATCCAGGAACCAGAGAGCTGTCTCATCGGTTATTTTCCAGCGTGACACTTCAAACCACAACTCCAGTCAAAAGCATATAAAGGGCCTCTCTAAAGAACACACTTGCTTTTCAAAGCAGATGATCCAAAAACAGATTCGCAGAGATTATGTGGCTGCTGTGGAGGAGAAACTCAAACAGCATCCTTTGGCTATGTTCCCGCACTATAGAGATCACATGACCCCAGAGGTGAGTGGACACAAAATCAGTCTGGACTACCAACCTGTTTTGTCACGATCTGTCTGTGTTTTATTTTGTCCTGTCTCGATCTGTCTTTATTTTCCTGTTTTAATTTGAAAAGTGTTCACCCCCCGTCTTGTCTGTTGCTTCCTGTCTCTTTGTTCCCTCCTGCTTGATTACCTGACACTGTTATGTGTCAGCACAAGGAGGCCTGTGTTAAAAGTGCTCAAACATACAGGGTATCTTCATTTCTCTCCAGTTATTCGATAAGGTGGTATCCGTTTTGGACCCAGACATGGGCGAATACAGTGTCTCTGCACTTCCTACGCCTACAGGAGACCATGCGGAGGACGAAGGTGAAGAAATCTGTACAGTGCCAAGGAAGGATGAAGGGAAGAGTAAAACAGGGAGCTTCTGCTGATAACATGCAAGTATTATTTGATTCATGGTATCAGTATCATCTTAATTATTTTGATAAATGAACTGGAAAAGAAACAACTGTATGCTATAATAAGGCTACACACTGTATGCTATAATAAGGCTACACATGTCAATCATTTTAAAGCAGCCCTGATGTCCAACATGAAAGTCACAGAAACCCTTATATCCTACAAATGAATGGGAATGGTTCCAAGAAAGGCCGGACGGGCAAACTATATCAACTCAGCAAACACAAGGACATGAAAGCAGCCGCCACCATATTCAGCAGATGGTTTGCCTCTCCCGTAAGTACCTAAGGAAAAGATAACATAAATCGTACTGTTTTATCAGACCTTACACAAGAACCAGTATAATGTTAAAGAAATGATAAAACACACTTTCACTTTTGCAGGATGAAGAGACCAATATTACTGAATCTGCAGTACACTGAGACACTGCTTCACCACGATTCCCTGTTCAAGCGGAGGGCAGCAACAATTACTAAGGTCAAGAATTACATTCTGTCCAGGCCACAAACAGAGGGGACATTTTTAAAGCAGCAGAGCCAAACAGAGAACACAAACGGTAAAGTTAAGAAAATCTTAGAAACCCACAACGTCGGAAATACCTCCCCACTGCAGTTTAAGTTCCTTCCATCAGGATCCAAACATTAGCCAATACGAGCAGATACAAATTCTCTATCAAACCATTTTTTTAAAAGTGCGGGTAGCATCAGCACATCTCCAACCATGCTCGTTTCCCCTTCCTTTCTTTCTTTTTTGCTAAATGTTGTACTTCCCTTTATTCACCTTTTACTCTTGTAATCATATGTGGTTTTATTAAGTCTGACTGTGAATGTCTTTTTTTGTCTTTATCTGTTTGTTTCTCTGTCTTTATTGCTACGGCGGCAGAGCCCTCAGGGACAATAAAGGATTTGAACACGAACAAAGAGTAGCAAAATATTATTTCTAAATCGCTTCTGATTTAGAAGATGTACAGTGAAGAGATATAAGCGATGTGGAACAGTTGGTTCGTTGACAGAATGAGGACCAGAAACAGATGTATGTAACCTTAGCTGTGAGGAGTTATGCAATGCACAATGGAGCAAGGCTAAAAGGCAAGACTTTACATTTAAAGGAGGGGTTTCTGTGTATGGAGTGTTCAAAGCACTTCTATCGAAATGCTCTTCAAAACCACACTGTAAAAAAGGAGCAAAAGAAGAAGTGTGTCAGTGCTCAAGGAAACATGACCACTTCTGCTTACGCAAGTGGAGGTTTTATGTTTAACGGGTGACTCAAATGATCTTGAACAGCCAATATGCACTCAGTGGACACTTCATTAGGAACACCTGCAGCTAGGGCATAAATCCTGCCTTGTCAAATTTGATCATGTTCAGTTTGTCGACATTATCATATCATATATTTTGACGATTATGTATTTATTATTGAGGTCCTATATTCAATTGCATTGTATTGATCTGTGTTTCTAATTGTCTGCCCACTCCTGTAGCAAAGACCCAACACATCTCAAGACGATTTAGTCCAGGCTAACACCACCTATAACTATGAGCTTCATGTTAAAACATATAATACACATTTATCATAAAACTAGACATACACATCAATTGTAAAATCAAATCAAACTTTATTTCAGCAATAAATTAGAAAAAACATCCGAGTGAATCTTTTGACAACTTCATCTAGGGAGCCTTATAAAAAAAAGCAGTACAAGGGGAGCTCCCTGAAAGACAAAACATTTGAATTTAATGAATTCTGAGAAATGTGATTACAGAGGTTTTTGATCAAATAACATTAACACAATTGTATGAAATGTTTGTGAGGCGCTGAAGGACAGGTGTAATGTGACATTTTTTGAATTGCTATAGTTGATCCAATATCAATATCAGAGATATGTCTCTGTGTCCCATAATTCGTTTTTAATCCATTGTATTAAAATAATTGACTTTTGTGTCATTGTTGTTCAGTAAAGCAGTGTTTTTCAACTCACCGTTTTTGCTTTCTTTTGACCACCACTCATATTACTCTCTTCATCTAGGTTATACTTTTGTCCAGGGCCCAGTTCGGAGTCTTTTTCCTTTTCAAATATTTATCCATCACTGTACGTCTTGTCACGGACACCTCTCGTGCGCATCACTAATTCTCTTGTCTTAAAGGTAATTATTGCGCTACTGCCACTCACTGGGCAGGTCAGTACATGGAAGAGTATTTAATTACTTCGCTAGTCACTACATTGCAGGAACACACGCACAACCATGGCAAATTATTAGCAGTAACTAAATAATATTTATAATATTTATATAAGTTGGATAATTTCCCACGGCACACCTGACGATCTCTCACGGCACAGTGGTTGAAAATCACTGCAGTAATGATACAGTATTTGGAAGAATTTCCGAACGACTCAGTCAGTAAATATATGATTCACATTATTAGCAACTCACTGATAGGAGGGTCAGCCTGAGGGCCGATGTGAACACAGTCTATGGTTGTCACTGTCAGCTGTTCGGGTCAGAGGTCAGCAGAGCGTGGACGGGCGACCGGCGGCCCAGTGAGAGCAGCTGTGGGAAGGAAGAGTACCTTGCTGCAGACGCTGTGTTTCCAATGACATAAAGAGAAAAGCGGGAAATAACAAGAGTATTTGTACGACATCAATTATTAAAATATTTGCAGGTTATTTTCCTGTTTATTGACTAATCATTTGGTTAAGTTTTATAGCAGAGGAACACTGTATAGATCAGTGGTTCTCAAACTTTTTCTGTCATTCCCCACTTTGAACAGGTTGGCCTTTTCAAGCCCCACCTGTTCCTCATCGCTCCAATAAAATGGTAGGCCAAGCTTAAAATTGTCAAACGTATCGTTCGATAACAGGGGTCTCCAACCTTTTTTAGGACGAGAGCTACTTTAAAAAAATAAAACAAGTCGTGAGCTACTTTTACTCCTCTTTTTTGTTTTTTTGCAGTGTATATATTTAGCACATTTTAACATTATTATATGCTGACCTTTAACCTTTGTGTGCTGTTTGGGTCTGTGGGACCTGTTTTCAGTGTTTATTAAAATAACATTTATGCAATTAAATTATTTGAACCTGCTTTATTTGGGGGTGGACCTCACATCCTCTAGGGGGGTCGGGGGGCATACACCCCCGGGAAGATTATTTTTTAGATGTTGAAGTGAAATGCATCAATCTGGAGCACTTTGAGCACAAAATGAATTTATGGATACAGCTCTCAACACTCAGATGAAAGGGAGATGTATACTTTTCAATAATCCAAACATCTTTAGAATATGATCTCAACCAATAACAAATCATTTCAACTTGTTTATTCTTATCTTATGTTACTAGTTAGCATTCTTTCTTTTTATTTATGCATATTTTACTAATCACTCCGCTTTTAAACTGTTTATATATTTATAACTAGGCTATATTAAATAGATAAAAGTGTGCTCTCTCTAGCTCTCTCGCGACGGCTGGCGCTAAAAAAATAAAATAAACATAGGCCTATTTGTAAAGTGGGGGGACACAAACGGGATTTCGAAAAGTGTCACGGTTAAACTCCTTATGAAGTGGTGAGGTGCCGCTCCACATTGCTTTTCTTCCCGACTGCAACGCTGGTGTGTGTGTGTGTGTGTGTGTGTGTGTGTGTGTGTGTGTGTGTGTGTGTGTGTGTGTGTGTGTGTGTGTGTGTGTGTGTGTGTGTGTGTGTGTGTGTGTGTGTGTGAGCATTTCACATGTGTGTATGAGAGATTTTTACATATGTCTGTAAATGATTTTGGTTTCAGTTGTGTGTGTGTGAGCAGGCTCGGATTGGCCATCGGGAGATTCGGGACTTTTCCCGGTGGGCCGCTGCCGTTGGTGGGCTGCTGCCTTCGGTGGGCCGCTGGCTCTGGCATAGGTGGGCGGTGGACTTTCACAGCACCGCTGCGCCAGTACCGCACCCGCCGCCGCAAACACCCGCCGCTGGGAGGCTCCGGCGCAGCGGCGCTGTGAAAGTCCATCGCCGTTGCGAGTCTCCGGCTGTAACAGTCCACTACCGCCCGCGAGGACCCAGGTTTGATTCCGGCCTGAGGTCCCAAAAAATAATTTAAAAATAATAATCTCCTGTTCATCGTGTCCATTCGCGACCCACCTATCACATCTCTCGCCCCACACTTTGAGAAACGCTGGTATAGATGAAGGGGGTTACGTACACTGACATATATTTTAGAAAAACTTGATTTGCATGAAAATGACAAGGTAGTAGACAAAAACTCACTCTCCTTGAAGGATTTGTTGTTGATTTTTTTCCCGTTGAGCTCAGCTGCATTCAGGAAAAGTGGCTCGCTGTACACAGTAAATGCACAAACAGACACACATTACATCACATTACACAGCCTGTAGCACTTTGTGGTGCTTTGCATGTTGCATGAAGGGTAAAAGGTCACGTGGGAAGATGGTGTGAGCTTCTCTTATCCTCAAGACAAGTCGTAATCATGAGATATAAACAAAAAAGACGACACTGAGGTGGTAAGGTTTGGGTGCGCTCTCTACCTGCCGCAGGTTTTTCTTCTCAATCTTGAGCCGACCTTTACTTTTTCCTCCTTGTCAATGTTGCTGTGGGTGCAGAAGAATAATTAAGTATAAGTAAGACACATTCCAGGAGTCCACAACATATCTTATGACCCAAATTAAGTTTGAACTATACTACGTCAGAGGTATACGTTTTTATCTTGTCCACGATTAAGCTTATTTGGAGAGCAGTAGGCCATTAAGTCCCAATGGTTGTGGACCCGAAATACGATTTCTCTTTAATCTTTTAGTACCTAAGAAATATCCTAATAGGTCTCAGTAGAAGAAACACATACCTCTGGAAGACTTTCTTGCTACAAATAAAGAAAAACAATTACAAACCCTCCGTCCATCCTCCTCCTTATCAACACAATCAATTATATAGCTCAATGGAGAAAAATGAATTCCACTTCTTCCAAAAGAATAAGGAGATACATAATGGGAAAATGAGATTGTTCTAATCATTTAAACATAACTCTTTCTCTTCTTTTTTCAAAACCTTTTTGTATTCATCATGATCGGTGCCTTTTTTTCCTTTAAATTCATTAATTGTTAATTGTGCGGTAATGTAAAAAAAACTAGACAGGGTCAACAGTCTGTATGATCTACAGTAGTACAGTAAAAGCCGTGAAAGTGTGAGTAACGAATCCACTCAAGTATACACCCCCCGCTCCTCCTCAACTCTAAATGACTTCCTGTTCACTTAGTAGCATCACATGATTTTCAGATGTGACCTAAGCTAGCCTAAGAACCAAGCTAATCCTTGCAGTGTGGGAACGGAGCCAGACGTACAATGTGGTTCTGTGCACTTTCTCCGGCGCAGACCTCCTCCTGTTATCGGTGTGTGGTCTGTGCTTCCCTGAAACCGCTCCTCGAAGCCCTCTGACCAGAGACCTGAGCTCTGGGGAGGGGCTTTCCTGCTGGAGGACAGAAAGACAATGTCAACCCAGTGCAGTTGTGATGTCTATATTACAAAAAGCTGGTCTGATAAGCTTGTATTTCAAACAGAGGAAACAGCGCATAAAGCATTTCTGTGACAATTAGCAAGAAGTTCATTTATTCTGAAGTCAGTAGTAACATATAAAACTGAATAGGCACTATGACAGTTTAGGACAAAACCACAAATAGTAATAGGCGCTTTTTTTTAGATGATTAATATTGAGGTTTTATTGCCTGGCCACAGGAATGTGATGGTGTGCATGTTTTTGATTTAAAGGTTGAGCAGATGTGCTGAGCTTGTGTCTGTGCAGCCAAATAAACAATGACTCACACATTCACTTGATGGGCTGGAACAGTTAGGGATAGGCAGGCAAGATATAAGAAGTTCCTGAGTGTACCGTGATCTGGGCGTTGGAGGCATGCTGGGAGCAGGGTGGAGCAGGGAGTGCAGATGGGGAGTCCAGGACAGGTGGATGTACATTCAGAGCTGTGTTTTGACCTTGGAGCTCCTATTGAAAAGATAACATTGGTTATAAGGAGCTCAGATGTAATGAAGCTCTTCGAGTAAGTCTGATTAGGTCAAACAGATTGTTGTGCTTTTATTTAATATAATAGAATAGGGAGGGATGAAACCCTCTTTAATGGTCACACATGCAGAGCACACAGCACACACAGTGACATTTGGCCTCTGCATTTAACCCATCCTAGTACAAGGAGTCTAGAACTAGGAGCAGTGGGCAGCTAGTGTACAGCGCCCGGGGAGCAATGGGAGTGAGGGGGGAAGGGGGGTGTCCGGTGCCTTGCTCAAGGGCACCACGGCAGGGCAGGAGGTGAACTGGGACCTCTCCAAGTAGCAGTCCACACTCCATATTTAGGTCTGGTCGGGGACTTGAACCGGCGACCCTACGGCTCCCAGTCCAAGCCCCTACTGACTGAGCCACTGCCGGACATTTAGGTCTTAATGTGTGCATCTGTATAAATGTGTCTTTCATTGTGTATATATAGGTATATACATATTTGCATAGTGCATACATATTTTTATATATATTTGTTTTTGTATTCGGGATGTGGGAAACGGTATTTCGATCTCTCTGTACACACAAACTGAAAGATTGACAATAAAGTTGACTTTGACATGTATGATGAAAAGAAAACAGCACAACATTCGCTAAAAGTATGCTTTTTACAAATATAGACATACTTTGTA